GAGAGAGAGAGAGAGAGAGCTAGAGGTGTGTGTGACAGAGAGAGAGAGAGAGAGAGAGAGAGAGAGCTAGAGGTGTGTGTGACAGAGAGAGAGAGAGAGAGAGAGAGAGAGAGCTAGAGGTGTGTGTGACAGAGAGAGAGAGAGCTAGAGGTGTGTGACAGAGAGAGCGACAGAGCACGAGAAAGGACGGATGAAAGGATAGACGGCAGCAGTGCATATATTGTATATTTACGGCAATCAGCAGAGCGTCCCGTTGCGCAATCATGCGTGTACGCAAGTCGCGCGATCACTGTGTGAGTGGATGTCCCGATGCATAGCTTGGAGGCTAGGCGACCGGTTCCGGACGCGTAGCCACTGCGTATATATATATATTATGTGTGTAAATGTGCAGCGGCATGCGTGCCCCCCCCCTAGCTGGGTGAGCACCTGCGGTGCTCGATTTCCTTGGACCTCAAAACGCACAAACACACCAAACAAAATTTTACCGCCTCACACACCTTTTTGGCCAGGGGAAACACTGATATGTATGTGCTTTCGTCATGCATGGGAGGCGCACTTGCATACATTGCTTCGTCTCTATGCGTGCATCTGTGTGTGCGTAAGTCTACGTGTTTGCCTGCCTATAATATGATTAAGTAATTTTTGTGTATGTTTTACTTTCAGGCTTTGAAGTTTTACTGCTGAAAATACATGGCTGTGATAACTGGAGTAAAAGCAGTTGAGGAACAGTTGCGGGAAGCGTCTTGTATCGGAAACTATGAGACCGTGCAGTCACTCATTTATGGCGGAGTTGATGTGAATTCACAGCATGACATCAATGGCTGGTAATCATAATTTTGTATAATTTTTAGGGAATTCTTTGCAAAATCCTTGTTTGGACCCCGCAAATGCGTTTTCGCATGTGCTACACAAATCTGGGGTGCTAAACTAGGATTGGGCTGAATTCATTATGGTAAAATGAAATTTGAAATGGACAGGTTTACATGTATTTAGAGCATTCTAAAAATAATGTAAGAGAGCATATCTTTGGGTCATTTTTCATGCTTACGGGAAAGGTTTTTATTTGTGGTTAATACAAGTGGGTGAAGTATTTCCCATATTATACATATGAAGTTGTGTTGTGTTATATGCACAGGACAGCATTGCATTGGGCTGCCAGACGAGGTCATGACACGATAGTTACTTTCTTAGTGAAACATGGAGCTGATCCCACAATTAAAACCAAGAATGGCGAGTCAGTTCTTCAGATTAGTAACAAAGAGACCATACGGAAGCTTCTGGGAGCTACAGGTATTGTAATCTGTATAAAGGGGTGTTGATAGATGACTCGATATGAAACTGGTGATGTTAAATAGTTATGTACAGGTGAATGAAACTGAAGATAGCCGCTGTTGATCGTAATGCTTATGTTATAGTAACTAAATAATGTAATAAATTGATGACTAATTGTCCACGTTTCAGATCACGAGGAACAAACAGAAGACCACGAAAGGAACCCTCTTCCATTCCAGCCAAGCTATTTGCAAAATCCACCCTTTCCTTATCTAACAGAAATGAATCCAGCATTATCTGAGGAGCAGATTGCACCATCACACCAGCCAGCAACAGCAGTGTCACCTGCAATAGCAGCTAAATATGTCATAACAAACGGCCTTCCTGTAGCTGAGAAAAACCCGGGCAGTAGAGACCATTTACAACATTGCTCAGTACCTGACAAAATGGCTGGTCAGGTTCACGAGGAGAAGATTTCATCAAGCGCACCTCACTGCTGCCATCACTGTTGCTGTATGCAAAAGTCTATCACACCAAGTAATGTTACAGGTATACGCTACATAATAAACTGTGGACAGTTGAGGCCAAATGAGAACTGTACTCGATTATATATATATGTACCAGCAGTGGTGTTATGAGAAGCAACAATATAAACTAAAAAGGCCTATGTATTGTATTTGGTATTATCAGGAGCGTATAATGACAAATGTCATTATACGCTCCTGGTATTATGTAAATACTAGTAAGCATTATAGGTTTGGTCACTTTTGTTATAGTTGCTATGATGTGTAGTCATTCCTATATTGCAAACAATGTTATGTTTAATGTGCAATGTGCTCATTTGCGTGTTTCAGAATTGGTGCTGAAGGTTCGGATTGCAGACGCAGTGGATCCGGACTTTATTGAGATGGAGTTGACCAAGCAGCAGCTGACCTTTTCTCTCCTTCTTAGTACATGTTGTCAGGAACTAGGTATCAAACCTGATACAGTTATGAAAGTACGAAAATTGCCCAACACTCTTTTGCGCAATGATCAGGATGTAAAACGGTTGCTGAACTTTCAAGAAATTGAGTTGGTGCTAAATACATACGCTGCTAGTGCAAAAGCTTGTGTTAAAAATTCAGGTAAAAATTCAGGTAAAAATGGAGTTCTGTATTATTGAGCATTCACTTGTCCTATTATAGTTTATATCTCTGGGCCCGGTTTCACAAAGCGTAATTAAGTCCTTAATCATGATTAACTTCCTGTACTTAAATTGAAGTGACTGTTTCACGAAGCGTAATTAAAGTTAATCATGATTAAGTTAATCACAATATTTAATTCTACTCTTGAGCATGATTAAATCCACTAATCATAATTAGTTGGTGTGCGAAAAAACAACATGGAGGCCGCAATTAATTACGAACGAATGAATGACCGCAGAATTGGTCAATATAGACATTGCTACAATTATATAAATACATTCAATGACGAGGAGTTAATTAAGGCAGAGATACCGCTTCGGGAGGAAAGGGATAGAATTTGTTCATGATCTAGTGAAAGACGGCCTACAGAGGCCGACAAAACGTTCCTGCGCGATTCCGTCAATAATGCAACTGCTGATAGCGCTACGTTTCTATGCCACTGGAGCTTTCATGAACGAAATTGATGATTCTTTCGGAGTTTCGAAACCGGCCCCTGTTTACGAACTGCAACAATGAGCTGCAAGGCGTAATCAGTGAGCATATGACCATTGGAAATAATGGAATGACCACTGGACTTATTTAAACATTCGCAACACTTCACTTGACTGAAAAAACTCTAAAGCCCGGCGCACACGTGAGTTATTTTACTCAAGTAAAATGACGCATGCGTCATTTTACTCACGTGTGCGGCGGATTTTCGTTGAGTAATTTGACTCAGGCGTCATTTTACTTGAGTAAAATAACTCACGTGTGCGCCGGGCATAACACATAAGGCAGTTGTCTTGTCGAAATTGTGATGTGTGTTTTTGCCCTTTGTGATTGTGCTTTTGCTGTTTGTGATTGTCATTTGTGCTACTGCTCTTGCCAGCAGAGAAAGTATTATAAGACTAAGGGGCGTCTGCTCAGTAGCGTATCAAAAAAAATCATGAAGTGTTTTAAATCCTAAATTGTATAGGGTTGAGTCTAGGGTTGTGAGTGTCATCAGACATCAGAATATAGCCCACAGTATGCCTCAGAATGCAGGAAAATGGCTTAAATATTTCAAAATGTCTTGGGGGAGCATGCCCCCAAACCCCCCCCAAGCGCTGGCATGTCCGCGGCACGCGGGTTGCCTTGGCTTCTGCAGCCCAGGTACATTTCGCCCCCCTGTTCATCCATTTCTGAATACGTCACTGTCTGTTAGTTAAAGCACAGGCACTTGAAGCATATCAACAGTAAACATACGCCGCGCGTACACTGACACATATATATTGAGTCTCAATATATATGTGTCAGTGTACGCGCAATGGAGGCGGCGTATGTTTACTGTTGATATGCTTCAAGTGCCTGTGAGTTAAAGCTTCATCGCCATGTTATAAACGCCTATGCTTCTGGTGTGTTCCGTGTCTGATTATATTTATAGTTAATATTATATTTATAATTAATATAAACTTGAAAAAGAAGTTCACATCGGATGATCGACGGTAGGCCTAGAGCATTCCGATTTTTTCATAACAATATAACTTATAAGGCCTAACAGTGGCTGTGATGCTAAACCAAATCGCGTATCTGTTCACCAACTACATTTATTGGCTCACGTTATTATTAATCGTCGTCATCGTCTTCCGGCACGAAAATATCATGTTCCTCTAATAACGCTGCTCCCATCTTTGCTACAGTTGCGCCGAAAAACAATCCGGGAAACGCTGCTAAGATGACCTTAACAAGTCCAAACTTTAGTTTCACTGGTTCAGGTAGGACCGCTCCTGTCACTGTTGTGAGTGTCCTACATCCTGATATCTGTAGTAGGCTTACATTACTATGGGTCTTTGGTAATATTTTTGTAGATATTCGCAACAACGACCAAAATTGTGAAGCCATTTTTGACGATCTGACATCTGAGCAAACTGAGGTCTATTTATTTCCTAGTTCGGATGCCGTAAACCTCTATATATACGATAGATGGGGTATCTAGCGCTTCACTCCATGTACTTTGGTCCTCATTGAGAACGTAGGGTACATCTAGGTGAGTACACCTACTGTCGCCTGTGACTGTCGCTAGAGCCTCGAATTCGTACATGTGTATATAGCTTTGCCGTTGCAATGTTATGATAGTTATTTATATAAATATATTTATTCATAGATACCGCTTAGGTCAGTGAAATCAGTAGCTGAAGTGAAGTCAACGTACTACGTGGGTAAATTGTGAAGGCTGGTGAATGCTATTTGAGTCGTTGATAGGGACCTGTTATTGTTAGTGTTAGTGTTAGTGTTACTGTTACTGGTACAGTGTTAGTACTCCGTGTCACAGGCACTTGAAGCATATTGAAGGCATATCAACAGTAAACATACGCCGCCGCCATCGCGCGTACACTGACACATATATATTAAAGGCATAATAGGCCCATCGATTATGCAATTTTAACGAATGCTAGAGTAACTGGCACCTTGTGTAGTTAATAAGTACATTACCTTATAGCCAAACGCGTATTAGTTTGTCCAATACATTGCTGGTTACTTAAGAAATGTCTAATTGAAATCCGCAGTCCACGAAATCAGTTGACTGACTTGTTTACAGTTCGAAACCGCATACTTCGAAACGGGGTTGTGAATACAGATTTATAGTCCACCGCGACATTTTCGCCACGCATGCCAAAAACGAACGCACGCATGCATTTTCGCTCGGCCGTACGCAATGCTAGCGATAGTACAGTACCGTAACTGTATACGTAACAGTAGCTCTGATTGCTAATGAACGTGGAATCCACGTACGAATCACTGACGCTCGTGATAATAAGTAGGCTGTGTTGGGGGCCAACGCTATGGGAGGATCGCCGGAACTAACCACGGCCACAGACTAAACATGGAAAGCAGACGGCACTACGCGTATTTACGTATATTGGTCAAACGAATACACCTGTGTCTGAAATTGAAGACATGTGGGTACCCGTTCATTAGCACCCAGTTTATTTACTTGTGCTCAATACTGAGATACACCCAGAGATACATTCTACTAGCTCTTTAGTCGTATATAAGCATCCGCGGGACAAACAATTCTTGCTAAACACCCGTAGCAAACATGTGACGTTGCCTAACCGAATTCGAGGCTATTTTGCTTGGCAACCAATTTAGCGTTGGCGCCAGATACCAGATTTACGGATTTCAATTAGACATTTCTTAGTAATTAGCAGTGATATTGGACAAACTAATACGCGTTTGACTATAAGGTAATGTACTTATTAACTACAGAAGGTGCCAGTTACTGTAGCATTCGTCAACTTTGTATAATCAATGGGCCTATTATGCTTTAAGTATTATATATGTGTATATGTGTCAGTGTACGCGCGATGGCGGCGGGCGTATGTTTACTGTTGATATGCTTCAAGTGCCTGTGCTCCGTGTACTCGGACTCATACACTCTACAGTATTATTCACTATTAACTATTATTAGTAAGTATTATATTAATAATACTATTATATTATACAGTCCTAGGACTCCACACGCCACACCCTGGCTGTCACTGACACAGTCATATAATATTTTATTTATACACAAATACAACGGTTTATTTCTTTTTTTCTCCATGTAAAAGACTGTTTTCAGTAAATGTATTTGTATTTGAATTATATACCGATTACCGGTATGCAATAAATATAACTAAAGATTTAATAATAATAATTATAATTATAATAATACTAATACTAATAGATGTTTTGATGTCAGATCGTTTGAATTGAGTTAACCCGTGAATGAAGGTTTTTGATCTCCAGACGGGTTAGCTCTAGTACTATAGCCCGCGTACAGTCGCCGCAACAAGCCGCAGGCCTTGGCCGCAGCCGTCGCCGCTGGCCTGTCGCCGTTGCCTGCGGCAACTGTACGCGGGCTATAGTACTAGAGCTA